TGAGCTGAATCCAAAAATGTATTTTTTTATCAAAATCGATCGATGGCCTTTTTTGAAAATTGCGTTTTTGTAAAAACTTAATAATCTTTTATTCAACTGGCTGTCCCGGACATTCTTGAAAACATAAACACGTATTTTTGAGTTCCAGTGAAAGCTGAACGCCAAAAGAACAATACTTAGCGAAGCAATATTTCCGAACATGCATATGCGTCTCCCACAGCCGACAATAAGGCGCAATCACACAGCTCAGTGTCACGATGGACCAAAGTCAGCCACACAGAAGCGTGAAATGACCCTTATCGACTCGCAGACCCGGCGCTCTCGGCCCGCCTGACCGGCCACGGAAAGAACGTTCGGCTCTCGTTCTACTAAACAAATGTCATATTTGTCACTTTAACTGTCCACATCGCTATAAAAGATATTTAGGATACCTGTGAACTGAAAATTCATTGTTCTGCTTGATTTACAACATGCTTTAATTTACATTTTTCTTATACATGTTTTGTTCCATCCAGCTGCGATCAGTGCCCGCGAAGGGGAAGTGAGCGGGGTTTCACTGTCAGAGGCTGTACTGGTGACAGCTGCTCGGCCGTGCGACCGGTTAAAGGTTACCCTGCCCCGCCGGGCGCTACCCCCACTCCACCCGAGCTGAGGCCGGTGCAACCTCTGACATTTCAGCGCGGCCAATTTTCCTTATATGGGCATGATACCAAGCTCAATTGGGCAAAGTAGACATGGACAAATGCAAATTAATGCATGATGTGAAGATGACAGAACAATGAATTTTCTTCACAGGTATCCTGAATAACTTTAAAGGGACTATCCCACCTTTAACATGGGGTTTGAGTTGAGATAGCCAAGTTTGCGGCGAAGTTCAGAAACCACTATCTATCTAGGTTGCAACCCCCGCGGCCTCTTGGTGTTGAAGAAATTCGTTCCCTTCATTTGAAAATGGGCCTTGTACAAGGCCCTATCTTCAACATGGAGCGACCGTTAGTGTGACGTCACCTCGTTTAGTCATTCTGATTTAAATGGGTTTGTTCGCTGAAAAATCGCTTAAAACTTGGTCTGAACGTTGTTGTGGTGCCTACAGAGTAAAAAGAATCAGCTTTATGACAGTAATGTGGCCTGGGGAAGGAGGTAATTTTGGGCTGTGACGTCACATATTTGAAAGTTTGTGTTTGGAATATGGGAAGCCTAAGATGTTTAATGAAAAATAAATGCCAGAACCGTGTTCCTGGTCATCCAATCTATAAAGTCGGGCACAATTTAACTGGTTTTAACAACATTTTAGAAGGTGGGATAGTCCCTTTAATAGCGATGTGGACAGTTAAACTGACAAATATGACATTTGTTTAGTAGAACGAGAGCCGAACGTTCTTTCCGTGGCCGGTCAGGCGGGCCGAGAGCGCCGGGTCTGCGAGTCGATAAGGGTCATTTCACGCTTCTGTGTGGCTGACTTTGGTCCATCGTGACACTGAACTGTGTGATTGCGCCTTATTGTCGGCTGTGGGAGACGCATATTAATGTTTGGAAATATTGCTTCGCTAAATATTGTTCTTTTGGCGTTCAGCTTTCACTGGAACTCAAAAATACATGTTTATGTTTTGCAAGAATGTCCGGGACAGCCCGTTGAATAAAAGATTATTAAGTTTTTATAAAAACGCAATGTTCAAAAAAGGCCATCGATCGATTTTGATAAAAATTACATTTTTGGATTCAGCTCACCGTCAGCTTTCGAATGGTATATACTATATATCGTTTCTTTTGAGCCTGAGATGACCTTCCGACGAACCGTGCCGTGGTGTCGTGGTTGTGATAAACGTCGTTTTGCCTCATTGTATATGTGGAGGTGCTTGGCCATAGGCGCGGGAGCCGGGGCGGGGGGGGGGGGGCAGCTTGCCCTCCCCCCAACTCTGGGGCCGTGGGGGCGATGCCCCCACAGCTTTGAGACGGAATACCACACTTTTTTTGCAAATGTTTTCTTTTTTGTTGTAAAAGCCTAGGGATGAAAAATAAGTGGCCTAAAACCGGTAAGAAAACTAGATTTGGGGGTACCCTAGGTTGATCTCTATTATGGTGTGCCCCCCCCCCCACCCCCAGTCTGAACGTAGTTCCCGCGCCCCTGTGCTTGGCATTGCGTTAACCCGCACGGGGCTGGGGGTAAATTTTACCCCCCTCGCGAATTTTTGCAATATCTCAAAAACGGCGGCGCGCAGCGCCGCCAATTTTTCAGTACCTTTTCTTACATCAATATGACACGTTCCCTGAAAATTTGAGCGAAATACGTTGGATTTTTTTTAGAAATTGACGTTTTAGTGACGTCATGTTCGCCATTTTCGCCTCTAAAACGGCAAAATTTCAAACGCCGCTAACATCTTCATTTTTAAAGGAATCAAGACGTCACAAAAAAGGTTATACGTAATTCTACTTTGTCTATCAAATGGTTATCTCGGTTTTGTGAAAATTTTGGATTTTGGCCCAATTTTTTTTCAAAAAACTAACTTTTGGGAAAATAATTATAAAATCCAAAATTTTGAGTGTATCGAAAAAACGGAATATATGTCAGAAGTGGTCTATGTGCACCTACATACCAATTTTCAGAAGAATCGGTTCAAAAATGTGGAGTTATTCAAAACTTTATGACGTCACGACACACACAAAATTTTGAAAAAAAATCAGTTCTAGACCTCGTACGGAAACAAAAATAGCACCATTCGATTCACCGTGAAAAAACTGCATTAGATCGACACCTTTTTAGACCTTACAACCAACTTCAAAATTTGACCTCACTTGACCTGACCTTGATCTGACCTCGACCTTAAATTCAACCAGAGGTGGTCCATATCACTTATTGAGTGTGCCTATTGAATTCTAAGAGTAAAATGACCCATAAAACATGTGTCGCACATGCCCTTTTCTATATTTTGTTTTTGGTGACCTAACCTGACCTGACCTGATCTTGACCTTGACCTCTGAATGATATTGTATGCAACGAATGTTGTCTTGGTAGCCTAAGAACACGTTTTGGGCAATCAGTCTCAGTCCATGACTCCATTCTTCGGCAACTACGGTGCAAGGCCGATACTGTAGTTTCAATTTGTACCCTTGACCTGACCTTGACCGTGACCTCAAACTTTAATTAAGTACATGTTTTTAGTTGTTCGTGATGAGATCTTTCGATTGGCGTTTGAATTTTCCAAATCGGACCATTAGTTCGGGAGATAACAGGGGGGGGGGTGGGTAAAATTTCCCCCGCGCGTTCGGCTGGAGACCCCAGCCCCGCGCGGGTCAAAGGGACTATCCCACCTTTAACATGGGGTTTGAGTTGAGATAGCCAAGTTTGCGGCGAGGTTCAGAAACCACTATCTGTCTAGGTTGCAACCCCCGCGGCCTCTTGGTGTTGAAGAAATTCGTTCCCTTCATTTGAAAATGGGCCTTGCGCAAGGCCCTATCTTCAACATGGAGCGACCGTTAGTGTGACGTCACCTCGTTTAGTCATTCTGATTTAAATGGGTTTGTTCGTTTAAAAATCGCTTAAAACTTGGTCTGAACTTTGTTGTGGTGCCTACAGATTAAAAAGAATCAGCTTTATGACAGTAATGTGGCCTGGGGAAGGAGGTAATTTTGGGCTGTGACGTCACATATTTGAAAGTTTGTGTTTGGAATATGGGAAGCCTAAGATGTTTAATGAAAAATAAATGCCAGAACCGTGTTCCTGGTCATCCAATCTATAAAGTCGGTTACAATTTAACTGGTTTTAACAACATTTTAGAAGGTGGGATAGTTCCTTTAACCCGCGCCCTGCTGGGGGGGGGATGTTTGAACACCCCCCCCCCCTTGTGGTTTTTCGCGAATATCTCAAAAACGGCGCCGCCGTTTTTGGTACACCTTATCATACATCAATTCTACACATGTTGTGAAAATTTCAGACCAAGGTCATTCAAGGTCAGGTCACCAGGTCACTTGAAGTGACCTCACCTCATAAAAAGTTTCAATGTCTGTCATAGCTACACCGAGTGACCCATCGCTTTGAAACTTTCAGCGATTGCTAAGAGCAATAGCATGTACAAAATGCATATCTCAGAATTTTGATATCGATGACCTAAGGTCAGGTCAATTTTGCGACCTCCCCATTATAAGTCAATGGGAGAAAAATGAAATGCGTCTCTTTTGGACGGAAGACATTATAAACACTCCCAAACACCGAATTACAAGTGGTTTAGACACACTGAACATGAAAATGGTGTCCGTGACCCTTGTTTATGCCCTGAGGTCATCTTAGGTCACGAATGGTATCTAACAGTTTTTCGCAAATAGCTTTTGATAGAGGCATGCTAGAGCGATGAAAATGCCTTATATGTGTTCAGCTCGACGATACGGATCGACTGATATGCAACATGACCCTTTCCGGTCAGGTCATGACCTTGACCTGAGGTCAAATTTTCAAGTTGACCTTTCAAGGTCAAGATATAGTTCATTCGATGCGTCTTGACGAGAGGAACACGATGCCGGTGAAAGTAAGCTCGTACAAGGCTTGGGTCAAAAGTTATTGCAGAAAAACTGTTTTCGAAAAAATCGGCTATTTTTGCAGTTTTTGCCTCCTGCAGGCAAAACCGTTGACGTTAGGTCAAATCTGAGAGAATTACTGAGAAAGGGCGTTAATAGGGCTATCGAATGCACTTTTCCGCGGCGCTGTAGCTCTATTGGTTCCCGAGTTATGCGTTGGCTTCTTGGAAATTTTCGACATTCGACCTGGAAATCGGCGAAATTTTGCCTTCAATGACCTCTGGTGACCTGACCTTTGACCTGACCAAAAAAATTGACTGAAGTGATTTCGTCATTATTTTTTACGCTCTTTCGAACGCCGCCCTCCGCGTATCGCTACGTGGCCCAGGAGCCGAGTTAGAAGGGGGGTGTTCAACCCCCCCCCCCAGCAGGGCGTGGAAATCCAGGACCCCCAGCAGGGCGCGGGTTAACATTGAGCTCTGTGTTGGCAGATCGGGCAAGGTTAAGGTTCCGGAATGGGCCGACATCGTGAAGACGTCGACGGCCCGCGAGCTGGCGCCATACGACCGGGACTGGTTCTACATTCGGACGGCCTCCATCGCGCGCCACCTCTACTTGCGGCCCAACGCCGGACTCGGCGCCCTCAAGAAAATCTACGGCGGCCGCAAACGCAACGGCGTGCGGCCCAACCACTTCCAGGTGTGCCACGGCAACCACCTGCGCAAGGCGCTGCAGCAGCTTGAGGCACTCAAGATGGCGGAGAAGACGCCAGAGGGTGGCCGACGGCTGACCAACCAGGGCCGCCGCGACCTGGACCGTATCGCCTCTCAGGTGTACCGCAAGATGGGTTCGCAGCAGCTAACCACCCAGCCGGTGGTGATCACGGCGCCGGCCGCTGCCGAGTGACGCCAGTACACTGTGACACTGTGACCCAATACACGGAGCGCGGAGGTGATGCCGGCTGTATGCACCCGACCTGTGGCCGGGCCGGCGGGCGGACGGAGAGGCGCCGCCGGCCCGGGCTGAGCGGCTGTATGCACCCGACCTGTGGCCGGGCCGGCGGGCGGACGGAGAGGCGCCGCCGGCCCGGGCTGAGATGTGATCCCACCAGATCGGGGCCACACAAACGGAATGGGGCGGACCTTATGGAAAATACTTGTTCGGCACCATTAACCTTTATATCTTACTACCCTACAATGGATGAAATAATACTGGATTGGGGTCTTCGCAATTTTTGGCGACATTCAGCTCAGGCCTGCCATCTAGCGGGAGAATTATCGTAAGTTAGAGAAGCCGAGTGAACGCCGCTGATTAGGTTTGTGACACACGGGAGTGTGGTATAGTAGCAGGCTTGTCATGCAATTTTTCAAAAGGTTATGCCTTTATATGCCAGTAAAAGCGAAGAGATTAACACGCACACCGAGGGGGGCGGATACCCCCCCCCCCCCCTGAGCGCGAAATTTGGTACGACTATTCCCTCATCAATTTTACACATGGTGTGCAAGTTTGAACCTCCTAACTTTTAAGGTCAGGTCACCAGGTCACTTTGAATGACCCCAACCCCAAGTCACTTTTTTGCAACTTTGTCACCGTGCCAGAGCTACAGTAGATGTCGTAGGCCTTTGAAAGTCTCAGGATGTTATTAGGTCATTAGTAGCTACAATTTGTATAGCTCGGAATTTTGATATCGGTGATCTAAGGTCAGGTCAATTTTGCGACCTCCCCATTATAAGTCAATGGGGGGAAAAAACAACTCCCTGTTTTTACCATTAAAACGGGTCGGAATGGCCCCATATATCATACATGACTTCATATACGATCAACCTTCACTACATTGAGGTCTGTTTTGCTGTTGGGCAGCCGTAAGGTCATGTGACGTCATCAAAGGTCACTAGCGGCTTTTTGCCAATAACTTCGTACAGGAACAAGATACAGCCGCGCGGATGGTCTCATTGTGTTCAGCTCGTCAAGACGCATAGAATGATATACATGATGCCTCGAGGTCACGTGACCTGATGTCAACCTTTGACCTTGACCTTTCGAGGTCAACATACATATCATTCGAAACGGATTGACGAGAGGATCACGATGATGCCCTTAGTTTGTTCCTATCTTGACTAATTCGAAAGTTATTCGAGAAAAACTCCATATCTAGCGCCGCCATTTTGACTTTTTCGACCCCTGTGGCGTCATCTTTGACCTGACCTGAAAATGACCTGTGTAAAAATTGTAGACCTTGACCGTGGGTATCCGAGCCCGTTTACCGCTTGTCGCTATCTTGCTTCGTTCTCGAGATCTCGGGGGGGGGGGCGGTCATCCGCCCCCCCCCCCGTCGGTAACCGGCCGTAAGATAACCTCTCGACCGCTCCCAAACACCGTAGGAGTTTTCCAGGGTTCGGCTTTGGGTCCCCTCCTCTTCACTATATTCTCCAACGACCTCTCACTATTTGCCGGAGACGCCACCGCTTATCAGTACGCAGACGACACCCAGATATTGGTGAGCGGCCCACGCAACGACATCAGGAGTCTCATCTCGCGCATGGAGGCATCGCTAGAGTCACTTAACGCATGGTTCTGCGCACACGCCCTGAAAGTCAACGCTTCTAAAACTCAACTGATGGTATTCGGTAGCCGACAAAACCTACGTAACCTGCCTCGCTTCAAAATCTCTTTCCGTGACGCTGAGCTCCTCCCGTGCGCGCAGGTGGGAAACCTGGGTGTTGTATTCGACGGCGCACTCACCTGGGAAGCACACGTGGCCGAGCTGAGCCGTCGCTGCATGGGCGTAGGGGAGAGTGGGGTAAGATGCCCAGGGTGGGAAAGACGCCCCACCCCCTCTAGCGGCGAAACAAAGAATCGAACCTGGAAATTTATGTCCTTAGCGTAAAGCGGAAGCCTGCCTTGCTAACTGCACAAAAATTCGCGAAGCTCAGTTGGGCAACGGCTGACTGGTGATTGCATGTTTTTTATTTGCTGCTTTCAAAAAATATTTTGGTGTCAAAACATTGTATATATATCAAAGAAAGTAGATGGTTTTTGCGTCCCTTGCTGTAGTCGTGATACATTGGCATGCGCATACTTGCGCCATTATAGCGCCATTCTTGAGGGTGTTCAGCGGTTCCAAGAGCAATTTCATCTAGTTCTGTACAGCCATGACGACTTTATAGACAAAAATTTTCAGAATGGCAATGTGGGGTTATTTGGCCGGGACTAGCGGGGCAACTTGGCCGGTGCGCTCAGAGCCTCAGAGTCAGAGCTCAGAGCTGGGACGGCCGAATTGTCACGGTCAATTATACCACAAAGGACATAACTCATGACCAACTTTGACTACCTTGATGCCATATTTCCTATTGGACAGCTATAAGGGCATGTGACGTCATCGACGGTTACCTAACGTTTTTTTTTTTTTTTGCTAATAAATACTTACAGAAAAAAGACACAGCCGCGCAAATGGTCTCATTGTGTTCAGCTCGTCAAGGCGCATCGAATGATATACATGATGACCTTGAACTCACGTAACCTTGAGGTCAAGCGACCTGAGGTAACGTGACCTGAAGCCAACCTTTGACCTTGACCTCTCGAGGTCAACACATACATGTTTCGATGCGGAATGACGAGAGAATTACGATGGTACTTTTAGTTTTGGCCTAGCTTGATTACTTCAAAAGCTATGAGTAAAAAAACTGTCATCGCATCTAGAGCCGCTATTTTGACTATTTTCGACCCCTGTGACGGCTGAGTCAACCTCCAAAATGCTTCAAATGCGTCGTAGGACACGCGTCATTGCTGAATGTAAAGCTGACTCGCCGATAACAAAAATCATGGCCTAAAACTAACACCGGCCAAATTACCCCACACCCCCGGCCAAATAACCCTGCTAGTGGGGCAATTTGGCTGCTTTGCAGACCTTTGTAATACGTCACAATTTCAATATAAGTAGTCACCCTATCATTTCAAGTTTACTGTCCAGGAAAGTAAAATGTATGCCACACCTGTCAGCGTTGAGAAAATGCAGAAAGGTATTGTCGATTTTTAGTTACATCGTTTTCTAAAAAAAAAGCGGCCAAATTACCCCACTCTCCCCTACTTTCATAAAGGCTAGAGGTCAACCGGCCTTGCCAATTGCCACAGAGAGAGAAAAAGAGAGAGAGAGAGAGACAGACAGACAGACAGACAGACAGACAGACAGACAGACAGACAGACAGGCAGACAGGCAGGCAGGCAGGCAGGCAGGCAGACAGGCAGACAGGCAGACAGGCAGACAGGCAGGCAGGCAGGCAGGCGGACGGACGGACGGACGGACGGACGGAGAGAGACGGACGGACGGACGGACGGACGGACGGACGGACGGACGGAGAGAGACGGACGGACGGACGGACGGACGGAGAGAGACGGACGGACGGACGGACGGAGAGGGACGGACGGAGAGAGACGGACGGACGGACGGACGGACGGACGGAGAGAGATAATTTATTTACTTATACACAAATGTACTTTTCATCTGATAACACCAGTATAACGCCTTTTGGGGCGACTAACGGAGCGAGCGAGAGGGTGGGCCTTGCACGTGCGAGATTGCGAAGGGGTACCTCCAATTGACTTGTGCACGGCACCCTACCAACCGGTCTCTAGCGATATGCAAATTTGAGCACAATCGGCCCAGCCGTTCTCGAGATCTGGAAGCGGCACCCTGCACGTGCGCACGTGCAAAATGGGTCCCAACTGACTTGTGCACGGCACCCTACTTACTGCTCCGTAACCGTGTACCAAATTTGAGCGCCATCGGTCCAGCCGTTCTCGAGATCTGGAATCGACCCCTGCACGTGAGCACGTGCAGCAGCACCCAACTGTGGCACATGGATATGCATTGCCAAGTGGGTGCCTACCCAGGGTATATTGAGTGAAGGGTAGGACGAAGTTTGGTAGGAATTTCTAGTATAACTACTAGAAAACCTACTATATGTGGTCGGGACTAGTAAAAAGTTAGTTCAAACTAGAATATGGTAGCGCTTATGGTTGGCAGTCGTGACGCGCACGTGACAATCATTTCTTAAATTTCTTAAATAACAGGTTTTAAGGGCCGATTAGTGGGCAGATACATTCAATTAGCTATTAATAATTGATTATGCAAACATTCAAGAATCTACATCGTCCAATTCTAGCCAAAATCACGCGGCGCTTCCAGGATTCGAACTCACGACCCTCTGATCCGTAGCCCGATACGCTACCGACTGCGCTACCGAGGACCGCGCGCCGACGATCGGAGAGGCGGATCGCGGGTGCTGGCGTGCAGAGAAATCTTTACCCTGTACGCCGTAGAAGATCGACTGGGTTTCATGAAAAATGGTAGAGGAATTGTCGAAAGAAAATTCATCGATCTATCATTTGAGACTAAGAACCATTGATTCCTTCAAAGGTTGACCGAGATATCGCTCGCCGAAAACAGGCCATTTAACATGTAAACCCTATGGGCTGGTAGGAAGTGTACGCCGTGGAGCAGCAGTGCTACCAACTAACTTCGGCGGGGGCCGTGCCTACCTACATGCCAACTTTCAGCGCAATCGGCCCAGTAGTTACAGAGATATTGCAACTATTACAAAAGTGACACTTCTTCGTTTTGCACGTGGCACGTGCATAAGGAGTGACCCACATGCACCGGAAATAGTCCAATACTTGGTAGAAGGAATAAAGCTACCCTACAAAAATTACCGCATGTAAATCGGTCAGGTGGTTGCTGAGATATAAGCGTCGTAAAAGCGTGACCACGGCCGGCCGGCCGCTCATACTCAGAAATTTCCGTTAATCTAAGGAAATACTACGCTCGCTTCGCTCGCTCCGTAACAATTGGCGTAAAAACGCTTGGTGCACTTGTAACCAGTATAACGCCTTTTGGGGCGACTAACGGAGCGAGCGAGAGGGTGGGCCTTGCACGTGCAAAATTTCGACGGGGTACCT